CTCTCTCTCTGTTGTTTCTGCCTTATCAGTCATGCTTTTTCCTTTGCGCTAAATGACCATCATTTTGTTGTCTAAGTGCTCAGCCGCAGACTGACTCAAACAAATGCTGAAATAGTCATGCCACAACACTCTATTGAATGACCTTTTTTTTTTCTCCTCTGCAGTGAATCTGAAACGTCAAAGTCGAGACTTTCTAAATCGGATTTGTACAACATGTTCAAGGCCACATGCCAGCACTTCGGCCAAGAGGGGCTGGTCTCAAACCCCAACTATCTGCAGGCCAAGCGAAGAAGCCAGGACTTCCTTCAGGCCAAGATATTGATGTTTGAGAAGTTTCAACAGTTAGGTTATGGGAAATGGGTGTCAAAACCAGAGGAGGAGAAGGTTTTCTCTTAATCTCTGCCCGCAACTGCGGAAACCAAGGGCACCCCAATTGGCAATTCTGAGCCTGAAGAGATCTGCTATTGCAACAATCAGCTGACTGTGTTGGCTTGCAGATTTGGCAGTCGATCTTGGTGACTTATTCAGCTTTCTGTGATGCTGTAGCCTCCCCTCCTCCCACCCTTCACACTGGTGGTATTCAGTTATCCAACATACGGAAACTAAAAATAGAGAAGGGGTAGGGGCGTAAGTTTGCCGACCATGCAGATTTCACAGTCAATCTTGGTGACTCGCTACATTTTGCTGGCTGATATCGCTCAGCTTGTTATGAACTTGTCTAACATCCAGAAGCTAAAAATGCAGGGACTAAATCTTACCAATTGTTCCTGAAAGATAACCTCTCCCTTCCTGTTGTCATGTCAGGTGACCAGTTGCTTTGCCTTTCATCTTGTCCTCATTTTGCGTACAGTAAAGTGTTGAATTTTAGCAAGAAAAAATTGTGAACTTTTACTGCTCACATGTTTAAATCAAGCCAATTCCTGCAGATGACACTCAGTTCGAGATTTGCCATATCTGTATTTTTTTTCCCCTCGAGGATTTTAGACTCAAATGGTATGGATGCTTTTCTATCTGGTTGTGTAAAATGACTTAAAAGATGATAAAAAGTCGGGAAAGATTTTTTTGTTGCCAGTCCATAATACATTTTATCCTCAAAATCCCTGATCTTATTGCCCGTTTTTTTTAAGGTCATATTATTCTGCACTGAGAATATCCAATAAGGCTAAAGAAATTAACTTAATTTTTTATTAGTTGCTGTAGATTTAACAGAACAATATTCTTAAATTTTCAAAACTTAAACAGCACATTGGCTATAAATGTATTAACTCTAAGTTCTTGACCTTTTTAAAAAAAAAGCGCTCTCACCATGCTTAAAAGATTTGTCACTATGTAAATCCACGCCTGTCTTTGCCAGACCTTTCCACAAATTTGTAGAAGGTGCTCAATCGGAAATGCTTCCTATATAAAATCCAAAGACTTCATTATTTATTTACACCATCTTAACCCTATTCACCCTGTGTTGCCGTGAGCAGTGCACTTGTGTCCACCTGGCTTGCCGCGAGTGGGGGAAAAGATTGGTCTGAACTCGACACACTAACGTTAGACACGCATTGTGCCTAAACTATCTAAGCTTTCAATATATGAAATTCCTTTTAGATTTTACTTAAAATGTTATTTTAATTTTATTAGAGAGAAAGGAGAAGGAAAGAGCAGAGAAAAAAATATATTCTTCGTCCGATTGCGACTCATCACCGCTCGATTCACCCTTAGCAACTTATAGTAAATCTCTGGTCTAGATCTAGCTATGGTCTAGATCAAAATTAAAAACATGGTTCATGTATTTTACAAACTCAAAAATAGGCCACATGTTTTTTGTGGTTGTTTTTTCTTCTTCTTGTCCATGAAGATTTCAGTGCTCGCTTTCTTGCCATGATCTGCGGTGATGTGACAAAACAACAAAATTATCTCGTACTTGGCGAAAAACTGGGTCAGAACAAGCTAGCCAAAGTTTTTACAAGCTAGAAGCGACCTATTATTTTCTATAGAAACCTGGATAAGTGATTCCGACTCGATTTTGTTGACTGGTATTTTGATACGACTATTGTCATAGCTCAGTGGGCTGAAGCGGGCGGCAACTACGAGTATACTCGGGTGCAATGGGTTAAAAGGAAAGTCATAATCAGAATGAGAAACAAAATATGTCATATCATCTTCAAAGAAGAGATAATGCCCAGATAGCTGATCATTACAAAGTGAATGAAGATCGACTCCTCGTTTTGCATCTACTTATTGTTTGGGGAAACTTGTCCTCAAGCAATAAAATTTTGTGTCAGTTTTGTCCCTAAACTTGACATGTTTGGATACCTACGAAGGTCAGACTGCAGTATGGGAGTTCCCTTGGTTTCCGATTGCCTGGACAAAGACTGAAGAGAAGGACTCTTTCCAAGGGTTGTGGGCAGCTCCAAATGATTTTCCCCAAATGTGTTGAGTGTTCCCTGATTTCCATGATTCCCCTGGTCCTAGCTGTTTCTGAGTGTAGTGTACTTGGTCCTGCTGGTCTGTGGGTTCTTTCTGATGAATTGTCGGGGGGGTTAAATTCTTTTTTTACCCCTTCCATGATATTGCATTTGTAGAACTTGGGTTTTGTTGGACTTTATTTTCTTATTTGAAAGAAATTATATTGTGTTTATATCTGATTTTTCTTTGTTACGTGTGTACAATTTTTGTCAGAAAGAATTTTTTGTTTCATATGATCAGGGGGAGAGAAGACTGTCTGTTAGGTAGTTACTTTTTTAAAGGATTAAATTACAGACGGAACTCATGTTTGTGTATTAATTAAGTGAATGTGTGTGGTTTTATTTATCTAATTTCATTTTTTTTTCTTTTTTTTTTTTGGACACTATTTTTAAAAGACTGTCTCTTGTTTGTTAATGAAACAGACCAAGAAACTTTTTTATTTTATTGCAATTTATTACTCTTTCTTGACAATATAAGTATGGAAAAGATAAGAAATCTGCGTCTGTTGGGTTGATGAATTTATTACCTTTGGGAGCATGCCCTTAGTGTACAAAATTTTGATTAAGCTTTATGAACTATTATTAAAACTTGAGAGTTAAGTTAAGAGAACAATTAGCATCTTGCACTTCTCTCATGTACATAGATGTACATAAGTATAAACAGATTCCCATTGGAGTTGAGGTCTTGAAAGTAGAATGTAGAGAGCATTGTCTGGACAGTTCATGGGAGATAAAAATAATGAAGGAATCTTTATTTTTTTCATCACATTAACAGCTATTTTTACTTGTTGCTTTGGTTCTTGGGCATATGTTTGATGCTAACTAAGAATAAGAACCCCTTGTGGTTATTCTGCCATAAAAAGTTGTCATACTTACTAAAAAATGTTGTTATTTAATGGAAATATTTTTTTTTCAATAAAGAGATATTGAATTTGGTGCTGTTTTGTTGTTCTTTTCGCATTTCTCGTCTTGTGATGTTAAGGGTTTTGCGGAGACATGTTTTCTTTTCGCATGCGGTGATTTTGCTTTCTTGGGTTTTGCTTAAAGTCCAGGTCTGGCACTGATAACATAGTCTTGGTATGAATATTGAGGTGATAAGCCATGGAGATGTTTGGATGAGATAGGAGGGGTGCGAGCTAATAGGTGACAGCCTTGGCTTTTTGAGTTCGCATTTCTATTTCTCTGTCTATGGACCCGTTTTCAGAAAAAGTGCTGACAAGATACTTGAACTCCTTCACCTGTTCCAGTTGTGTACTATTGACATGGATGTTCAGGGGACTATGATTTCGGCTCACTTTCATAACTTCTGTGTTTTGATATGCTTATTTTCGTGTTGAATTTCTCACAGTTGTTGTTGTGTTCGCTAGTGTGATTTTGGAGGCTTTGTTGGTCATGATGAATAAGACATTGGTCGTGTGCGAACAGAAATTCATTTAGGCTTTCTGGGCTTTGGTTTGTGTCTTGCGTTATTGTGTCCATATAGGGCCTATATTATAAACAGGAGGGGAGATAGAACGGATCCCTGTCGTACTCCAGATCTTACTTTGAACCAGTCTGTATTGCCTTCCTTCGTTCTTACTGAGCCTCTGCTGTTGGTGTATAGAGCTCTGACTTTATGTAACATTTCTCCTCTGGCGCCCTACTTTTCGAGTGTCTTCCAGAGTTATGCATGGTTTACTCTGTCAAAAGCCTTTTTTGGGTCTATAAAGACGATGTTGGATTCTTTGTTGTGTTTGGTTGTTTTCTCGCATATCTGTCATAATGCGAATACACCATCCGTGCATCCTCTTCCCTTTCGGAATCCAAACTGAGCTTTGCTCAGATTTCTCTCTACAATAGGTCTTATGCGCTGCTCTAGTATTTTTACGTATATTTTCCCTGAGTGGCTTGACAAGGAGATGCCTCTGTATGTTGTGCAGTCGCGTTTATTGCCTTTTTTCCATAAAGGTACCACTATGGTTGTCTGCCAGTGCCAGTCTTCTTGGCATTTTATTTGCTCCCAGGTTCTGTTGAAATTTCGCCTCAGCCACAGTATACCGGTGTTTCCACAAGCTCTTTTGGCTTTCGCAGTGATGTCATCTGGTCCTGGGGCTATGTTCTTGGGGCTGGTCATGAGTGCCTTTTCGATTTCACTGGGAAGTATTGGTGGTTCTGTTTGATCTCCATAATATGATGATTGGAACTCTTCTTGTGCGTGGCAAGCGTCTGGGTTGAGTAGTTCTTGGAAGTAATTTTCCAATCTTTTCTTAATGGCATGTTTGCCGAGAATGGCGTTTCCCTCTTTGTCGTTTATAATGCATGTCGGGTTGTATGGCTCTTTCCTTACCCGCATGCTCTTCACACTTTTATAAAATTCTCTTGGGCTTTCCTTGCAGATTTTGGTCAGTTTCTCGCCATATATTTTCCGTGCATTTTCTTTAGCAGTTTTGATGATTATTTTGGTCTCTCTTCTCGCTTTCATGTATTATATATAGTCTTCTTCGGTCTTTGACTTCTGCCATTTATTGAATTTCTTCTTTTTCATTCTAATTGTTTCTTTGGTTTGATCATTCCACCAGCATGTTGTTCTGCCTTTGTTTCCACATATTCGTTTGGTGCCACAACTGTTTTTCAGTATTTCTGACAGGGATTTTTTAAATATTTGCCGTTCGTCTTCTTTGTCTTTGATCTCAGGTGACAGTGTATTGTACTCCTTGGTAATGTCATCCTCGACTGCTTTCTTGATGTTTGGTTCTTCCAAATTTCTACGGTTAGTCGTGGTTTTTCCCCTGTTCTTCTTTGTTTGCTTTACATTGTTGGCTGTGAGAGTAGGTCTGTGGTCCGTGTCGATGATGTAGTTTGGAACCGGTCTTGAATCCTTGGCTGTATGTCTTTCTTTGTTTTCTGCGCTTCAGGATGAAATCAATTTGTGATGCATGGTAGTTCAGGTCACTCCATTTGTACCCGGTCTTGATTTGGCTTTGTCTATGTTGGAAAAATGTGTTCGTAATCATCATGTCGTGCTCAGCGCATAGGTTTAGTATTGCCGTTGCAGTCTGAATCGTTATCGCTGTGGGGTCCCAAGTACTCTTCCCAAGTGGTTCTTCTTCGTCCAACTCTGCCATTTAAGTCTCCCAAGATAAATATACCGGTATCTTCTTTTTTCTTGATGGTGTTAATATGGTCACTCAGGTCTTGGAAATATGATTGTCTATCTTCCTCTGTATAGCTGTCGTTAAAGGTAGCGTATGTCTGGATGTTCGTTGTTGTTTTGCCACTCTCTATGAGTTTTATGTTCACTATTCCCTCTGAGATCTGATTGATTTCATAGATTGTATACATTTTGGCTGGGTGTATGATGAAAGGTACACCTTGTTTGGCTCTCTCATTTTCAGGTGTTCCGCTCCAGATCAGGAGGTAACCTTTATGAGTCAGCTTGCTGTGGTTGCCTCTCTTCCTTATATATCTGACAAGCCCATGATTGCTATTTTCTTTCTTTCCATGAAATTCACTATTTCTGGTTCTTTGTCTCCAAGTCCGCTGACATTCCATGTGCCTATTTTAATTGTTGTTCTAGCTCGCTGTCCGTTTACTTTTCCTGGTCGTTTTCCGTTTGAATCTGTTTGTGTTTTCTCCTTTGATTGTTTCGTAGCAGTAATCACTAGCAACAGCAGCAGTAAAAACAACAGCTGTAACGAGGGCAATTGCAAGACAACGTGGTCATATAAGTGCCGAAAATTAGAAGTCTTACAAGAGAGTAACTAACACCAACAAGAAGGAGGAGAGATAGAATGATACCTATTTGAAAGAAGGAGCAAACGACATCAGAGCACTCGCGAGCCATCCACGGTTTTGATCTTAAGCGTTTTTGGATAGCTAGGTCAAAGAAATGTGGATGGTAATAGTGTACAGTGTAGCGTTTCAGTAGCGAAATTAACGAGAAATTGCCCCCCC